ACTCTTCCATATTTACGCTTGAAATGTGCAACTTACCGGCTGCGCGCATTTTCCAGAGCTACGATTCTAGCATGGGCTGCATCGAGCGCATCCTGTAGATCGCTGGTCTTGGCATTCTGTCGCTTCTTCACCTCGTCGAACTCATCAGCTCCGATCAAACCTTCGGTCTCGAATTTGGTTCTCCACTGTTCCAATTCCGTCTGTGCTTTCTGCAGCTGGCGAGTAGACTCAGCTTTTCCGGCTACTTCATCCTCGATGGATTCACGTAGCTGTTCGAGCTCGCGAGTGAGGTTCTTCGACAGATTGTTGAGATTCTGTCGCTCACGACCCTCTTCCTCAGCAGTGCGTCGAGTTTGGTCGAGTTCGTTGGAGAATTGAATCTTCAGCCGAGTAGCCGCTTGAATCTTACCCTCGAGCTCTTCGACTTGGCGAATGAGGTCGCCATTCTCGGAGTTGAGCCGACCCTTGGCCGAGACAAAGTCTTGCAGTTGGCGGGACTGTTCGTCGGCTTTGAGACGGAGTTCCAGAAGCAGAACCTCGTGCTGCTTGGCGATGCGTTCCTGCTCGATGCGAGCCTTGGCCTCGTGGTCGAGGGCGGTAGAAGCCTCGTCGAATTCGCGTTGCATCTGGGCCTTCTCCTTTTCGGCTCTGGCTTTGGCTTTCTGAAGCTGCTCAACTTGGTCGGAAAGCTCTTGCACAGCATCGGCTCCTTTCTTCTTGAGGGTAGTAAGTTGTTCACCGAATTTGAGACCTGCCTCTTCGAGATCACGTCGGAGTTTGGCGATTTCGGTATCCTGGAAAGAAAATGAAGGTTTGGTGTTGCTTTCGAAGGCACCGTCCACCCAAAACTGAGACTGGGAGTTTTTGATGCCTAATGTGTAATAGCGGAAGTCTTAGCTACGTATTTGCAGAAGTCCCGTCGCAAAAGGTATATTACGAAGCGAGAAAGTAACCACAAAAAGTCGATGTACTTGGGTCGCCACGCCCATCGACGTGGGTGGTCTAAATATGAGTCCGAAACTACACTCGAATATTACCTAGAAAAGTCGAGAATACTTCTTTTATCGTGAAAAAACTCGTTTTTACATTTGGATTGAATCTGGTTTCAAACTCATCAAATTTCGACCGCACAAGGTGAAGGGCGTGGCGACCCCGGCAACATCCATCTTCTGGGGCTACTTTCCTGCCTCAAACTACACCCTTTTGCAGGGAGATGGAATATATGGTTAAAAGCCTCGTTATCTCACTACCAGAATCTCACCAACTTCAGATCTGGGTGAAGGATGCCTCTGAAGTCTAAAATCAACGGGAATTTCTCACCTTTTTCTTCCCGAGCTCAATCTCAGCAGCTGTGGCACGAGCATGCTCATCCAGTTGTTCGCTAAGTTCATCGTATTCAGCTTGCTGCTCCGAGCGAGCTCTGTCAGCACGAGAACGAGATTCCTAAAAAGAACGATTTTTTCCAAATTTTTTACCCTCAAGAACGTATAAAAATTCCAACCTTCTCATCAGCCAATTGATCGCTCAAATCCTTCATCTTAGCCTCATCCTGCTGTACTGCCTTCTGTAGCTTAGCCACAGCACCCGATTCGTCTTCGAGCTTGATGCCAAGATTGTGAAGTTCTGTCTCCTTGCGTCTTAGACTGTTCTCCACATCGCTTCTGGCCTTCGACAACTCGTCCATTTCTTCTTGAGCAATCTTCAGATCACCTTCAGCCTTTCTTCTCGCCTAAACTTATTAATTCATATTGGCTCGTAATTGCGGACGAGTTGCCGGATCACCTTGTCCATGTCGGCTCGGTTTCGCTTCTCGCGTTCGAGGGTGGCTTCAGATTCTTCCAAAGTTTGCATAAGCTTGGCCTTCAATTT